TCATGATGTTAGAACAGCGAACTCTCATGATGTTAGAACAGCGAACTCTCATGATGTTAGAACAGCGAACTCTCATGATGTTAGAACAGCGAACTCTCATGATGTTAGAACAGCGAACTCTCATGATGTTAGATCAGTGAACTCTCATGATGTTAGAACAGCGAACTCTCTTGATGTTAGAACAGCAACTCTTATGCTGTCAGAACAGCGAACTCTCATGATGTTAGAACAGCGAGACCCCATGTTGTTAGAACAGTGAACTCTCATGATGTTAGTACAGCAAACTCTCGTGATGTTAGAACAGAGAACTCTCGTGATGTTAGAGCAGAGAACTCTCATGATGTTAGAACAGCGAACTCCCATGATATTTGAACAGCGAACTCTCATGATGCTAGAACAGGTCACTTGTCGATACGGCATTAATTGTTATAAAAGGACTCATTGCTTCTGTGATTTAAGCACGACCATTGCAGTATTTACATTACTAGTGCAGTGAGTATTCGTACAGTATCTGTACAGTACGATAATCACCTGAACATTATGTGTATTTCTCATATAGCGTATTTATTACCTCAGGGAAAATATTGCCTGCACATATTACCTGCTCGATCAGCATGTTTTCTGCTTGGTCCAGCATGGTCATTACATTACCTTAATCTGTGTACTCATCTTAAGCTGGCTGACGTTCACCCTGTAGTCAGGTGCATGGTCCAGCATGGTCATTACATTACATTACATTAATCTGTGTACTCATCTTAAGCTGGCCTAGTCTCACCCTGTAGTCAGGTGCTTCAGGATTAGCTTGATGCTGGCGGCGCAGGTAAATCGGGTCCACGCGAAATGCATCAACGACCTCTTCTGATTTACGGATCCTAGTATAAAAATAAATGAAATATTATTTAATATATTCAGCATGTATATACGTATAAGGAGTACCTCGTGGGGGCCTACGGGTACTGAGACATGATTAAATTCAGTGTCTCGAGAGAAATATTCCACTGTTTTTTTCAGCTTCAATAGTATAACATTGTTGTTTTCATGTTCACTATTCAAGTTCAAGAAATGCTGTAAAGTTTAACATTATTAAGCTTTTAATATCTATTTACTCAGGCAAACAGTGAAAATTTTTAGGCATTGGTTCATTAACAACGTTGGAACAATAATGCAATAGAAAGAATGAAGAATTCAATTGCACACTCAAATGTGTATGATGTCCAGACATTCTAGCACAACTCAGCGCACCACATGGTCGAGCAATCGAAGTTGACGAGCAGCCACTTGTGGGGGTTGAAGTTGAACGAGTCCGCCATGTGGACGCCCTTCATGGGGCCGCGGAATTCTTCGCACACGAAAGCGGCGCCTAACGAACACGAATTTTCGAAGAAGACGTGGCAATGGACAATGGACATGAATAAAAATGTTAGCTTCTATGTATACATATTATATTCTATTATGACTGAATTTAGGCAAAATAATGTTAAAAACATTAATGTAATTTGCATCTCAGTTTAATTAACTCTGAAGTACGTTTCAGATGAGTTGGAGAATAATTACTTTTTTTAAGCTTCGAGTTTTTTCCTACGTTATATTGACGCTTGGATGCATCAGACGATAAAAGCAGACCTGCGTAAGCAGCGTCGACATGGATCCAGACGTCAGAGTAACCGCGGCACACTTCGCCGATCTCCTGCAGGCTGTCGAAGGCGCACGAGGCGGTGGTTCCCAGCGTCACGATCACCTGAGGATAAGTATATGTTTATTGCAAATTAGTGAAGGATAGTGAGTTTGGAAGAGCGTAAGATTATTGTGATATAACGTATATAGTGATATAATCACTGATATAATGATATAATCACTTCGGCATATAGCGAGTCAGTGTCATTCAATACGTCGCTTCTTCCGCAGCAGTTGTTATACGTTTCTTAGGAGTTTCAATATTGGGTGCAATGCGTGGAATAGTTGAAGACTAGAATTCGCAGTACAGTTCTGGTCCTGGTGCTGTTCTAGTATGAGTTTAATACACTGTCAGAAAAATTACCGTTAACGGTATTACCGGCGCTTCAGTGGCCCGTCGGCACGTGAAAAGAAACACCGCGTCGCAGTTTTTATTGTAATTTAACACTAGAAATCCGTTAAACATCTGATAAAAACGGTGAAATCGTTTATTTTTAAGGGGGCGACCGGCCACTAGAGCGCCAGTGGGACCGTTAAATCCGTAAAACATCTGATAAAAACGGCGAAGCAGTTTATTTTCACGGAGCGACCGGCCACTAGAACGCCAGTGGGACCGTTTTTTCACCGTTTTTTCTAACAGTGTAATTAGGTTCTAAACGTTTGAACGTCAACTGACGCAGAATGGGATGAGGCCGAGCTCGGCGTCGTGCTTCATAGCGCTGGCGAGGGCGGCTCCTCGGAGAGCGAAGGTGTCGTCGGTGGGCAGCAGCCGCAGCTGCACGCTGGACAGTAGACCTGCTCTCTCCACGCTCGAGTGCGACATTTCTGGTCATACAAAAACAAACTTATCTATAAAGACAAATTGAATTGTTCTACTAGAAAAATACTAACCGAGTAAAGTAACTTATTACGTCCCAGAAAATTGCTGTTTGTATCATGTAGGTCCTCTAGTGCATCAAACTTATTAACCAACTCAAACAGCTTAAAGTAGCTTATATTTGTCAAAGTATCCGCAAATTTGAGCAATAAGTTACATATACAACATTGTGAATATAACGTAGTGGCCCTTTTCACGGAAGGCTGAAGAGATTCGTTTGATAGAAGATGCTGATTTAGCAACGTCATGAGAGCGACAGTTCCATGACGTTCATCCTGGGTAGAGTATTTAAGGTTTCATCAGTTAAGACTTTAGAAGGAAGAGTCTGTTGAGCTATAAGAGTGTTACCATACATTCTATAAACCGTATCTCACTTTAATTCAAGTTTAAATTGCCTCCCGTAAATTAACCTCAAATACAGTCTTCACTTTGATATTATAAATGGAGTTCGCAATTTAGTTATTACCCTGGTCAGCACCTGATTCTAATTCATCTGATTGACCAATGCTATAAGTTGAGTTTTTCTATTTTAGTATTAAAGAAGAAAATGGCACCAAAACAAGATTTATACGACATCTTCGGTCACATCAGTGACGTCGGTACATACATCTACATTTTCTTGTGTTTTCCTACTAAATGCCTATGACCCGTGATGATAAATGAACTAGTCGTATTTTACCGAGGATAAATATTAGCTTGGCTAATCTTTAACTCGTATGTGAATGCTCGTCAAACTTTTTTTCAATAAAATATTTTTGGAGTTGGTTTTTCATGCACACTCGCATTATGTCAGACTAAAGTATTTTAGTGAATTAGAGCGAAATGTTTCACGTTTCGAAATAAATAATGTACTCCGCTGTGTTAATGTTCGTTTCACGTTTTCTTGAACAGTGATTCATACATTAATGCAGTTGAAGGTAAACGTTTTATTAACAGCTTTTATATTGAGATATTCTCCCTGTCGTGTTGAAGTTGAAGGTTTCCTCGTTGAGTTGAATAGCAATATATTCTTTGCGCTGCTTCGTCTTGTAGTTGAAGGTTTACAGTTTTCACTGTATCGTGAGATATTCTTCTCAGAGTTTCACTCATACCGTGTTTTGTTATAGGGCTGCGAAAATCTAAGCAGTATGGATTTGCTCAGATGTTAAGTAAAACACTGTCTGATTTTGCTTATTACATAAGTAAATTATTTAGTTTGCTATGTCGATATGTTGTTTTTATTTTAGAAAGGTTCGCTCCAATTAGCATTGCTTGCAATTAAATTGTATTTTATTAGCCATACTTGGCGCAGGTTGAAGATGAGTGAGTCATTTTCGTATTGATTCACATAAATCCTATATGGCTCCACGAACGGTGTTTATAACGTTTGAACAAAATGAATTGTTGACTTCATGGATTATAATTTTGCTTTGCTTAGAATCTACTTTGACCGCTTCATGTCGGCTATAAATGCGGCAAGAAGGCTGCCACATCAGGGCTGTCACTATCAAAGCCTCCTTCCCTCGCCACGTTAGGGCAGTGAGACCGCGGGTGTCGCTGGGAGCTGAGAGGTCCTATGCCTTCGTCGGGACAAGCAAGAGTGTTTGCTGCTGCTGACGCGGCCTAGGCTGGTGCTGGCCTGTACACTCAATGTCTCTCGATAACAGAATATAATAAATTTGTCTATAGGTACATCGTGATGTGAAATTTGCCTATAAATTTTAGTGTATAGTGTTTGGAACATGCTGGTGTTAAAATGTTTGCATATCTTCTCTTTTCAGGAGCTAATTTAGTTTTTAATGCTACATTCTAGCCAACATTTGTTTGAGAACTAACAGACTTTTTGGTTCATTTCACATCGTGAGGATTTTCACTGAATAAACGACGAAGACTGGCATGTTTTGCTTCAGAGTCATGTAAAAATGAGCAGGTAATTTAAAAAAAATAAAATTTATTTGGCGACCAGTTTTAAAATTTTGTAATAATTTATTTTCATTGAAGAACATCAGTATAATATATGTATTTTTTAGGTGTGTTGTTCATGCATCATTTTAATACTTACTTTACGGTATCTACTACTATAGGAGTTTTGTTTATTATATATCATTTGCATTTTTTAAATAATTGATTTACCTGAAGCGTAAGCCACAAGCAGAGGAGCTTTCTTGGCTTTTTCCTGATGTCCAACGCAGTCTTTGAGAGCTCGCTGCTTGGCGGCCAGCATGGCTATCAGCGTCGCTTCGCTGGCCGTGCTCTGAAAAATTTTATTTCTATATTTACCCACTTCCACATGAATACATCAATACTTAACTTTTGTTTAGATAATTTTGCCCTGCCAAACAGTCATGTTACACTGGCCCCACGTGACTACTATTGAGTAGTTCTGGTGTACTGTCCTCTGTACTCTCTCAAAAACCTTCCGCATTTCTTTGCAGCCCCTCTGACATATATATATACGTACGTGTCACTAGGTTTTGTGCTATTTTGTGTGCCTTTGTTTCTACCTTTCTATTGTATATGTACCCTAACAAAATTTAGAGTCGCCCTAGCTTCTGGTAGTCGAAATCAGAAGCTGCCGCGACTGGAAATTTTCACAGGGGTAACAAAATTTAGAGTCGCCCCAGTTTCTGGTAATCCTAATCAGAAGCTGCCGCGACTGGAAATTTTCACTGGGTAACAAAATTTTAGAGTCGCCCCAGCTTCTGGTAAGCCAAATCATAAGCTGCCGCGTCTGTAAATTTTCACTGGGCAACAAAATTTAGAGTCGCCCCAGCTTTTGGTAATCTAAGTCAGAAGCTGCCGCGGCTGAAAATTTTCGCTGGGTAACTGCATCACCAATATACTTGCCTGCGTTGCGCCTCCTCCCACCCATCTCCTTCCCCATGCCTCCTCTCCCACTTCGACTCCACCGGGAATGTCCCAGCGGTTTAGGGGCAGAATTCTTTTACCAACCTTAATCCTCATCATCTCATCTTCATCCATCATCAGCCTTCAAGCCGCCTCAATAACCAACTCATCCTGTTCGCTCGAACCGCAGACATTCAGAATAAAACGCGAAAAAATCGGCTCCAGACTCCCTATTGACAGATCTGCAATATTTCAAACGACCTCATATGAACTCAATTCTTCACTTATCAGACTCACCGGCTCCGTAACCGGTTATTATACAGTAATGGACGATGTATCAGCCATCGACAACTGACATCCAAAAAATCGAACGAACATTTTAGTAAAATCAACCTACATTCCCACACCCCATCTTCCAGACAAGGACATAGGCCGAAATACTTCGAAAGAAATTAAGCACGAAATTACGAGACGGCAGAACTGGATACACATTCAAGATAACAGCAAAATCAAATACTAAACCCAAGATTTTAAAATAATAATAACTGACACAACCATATAGCACAACTCATTCTGAACGACAGCTATGCCGTGTCCCAAAATCACTCCCTCACATTAGGAACAAGAGCCATTTGTTACTACAAGTGTTCGAAGACCTCCCTATACAGCCTACCTATGTACCGCTACTACACAATCCTGATTTGAGTGTCCATGTTACGACCACACTTAAACACATTGCAGGAAAACATAAAAAATGTCTCAATTGCCAACAAGAACACGTAACACTCGCCGTCAACTGCCCATACAGAAAACAAGCTATCACAAAGAAACATCAAGCAACAGTAGACCAAGAACCGCAGAATACTCAACACACATGTGCCGAAATAGCCAAACACGCCAGAGGGTAACCCAGTCGCTACAGTTCAGAGTATCAGGATTGGAGCAGTGAGTTGCGTTTTCGAGATCTCACTGCATAAATCAAACTGACAGCAATAATTCCTGAAACACAGTCATGCTCACCAGAGGCGAAGGCTTTGCTTTCATATTCTCGAAATAACTGAATGCAAACTACGACATTGAAGCTACTTTACTTACCGGGAATTAGCTAAGATATTTAACTTTCTCTGTACAGATGATGAGAGCAAATCAGATCCAGAAATCTTGAATCAAAGAACCGAATTTAAAGATGACGACTACATGGGACTGTCCTCTCTAAACTCAACAGAACCATAGACGGACTGCCAAACCCACAAGAACGACCCCCACTCACAACCAAAACCCATTACGAAGACCGCGATCCAAGTAGCGAAAAAAGTGACAAGCAGTATGAAGAATCGCCTCTCGCAATGCCATGCCTCGAAGAACCAATATCCGTTGGAATTTAGGAGTGGCAAAGACCTCAACTAAATCCCTGCCGTCCCTCGCAGCATCTGTTACTTTGACGAACTGAGGCAAAATGAGTATGAAGTTTGTCTCAAAAGCAACTGAGAATAGTGTGCACGGTGTTTATGGAATGTGAGGGAAGTGTGCCGCCAGACGTAGGATGGTCAATTTAGGACTGAGGCAATAATTCCAGCAAGAAATTCACCGCATGCTACCGATCGGGCTCAAGGCTGAGTTCCAAGACCGCTACAAAGGACTCATGACAAGCCCGTTGGGTAGGGGTCTCATATAAAGGTGAGACCGGGGAACCACAACAACATCCCGTTGGGTTCGAGGCGAGAGGAGGGACCAGAGGATGGAGGGAGAGGAGGGAGCAAAAGCACAAGAATACGGTGGAAGTGCACTCGTATGTACACTATAATGGTATAGACAGAACTCACAGAAGGTACAAGGAACTCTTCGAATGAACTTCACGTGGGCCAGTAGTTCCGCTAAAAATTCACTGTCTGTCTGTCTGTCTTTGTTTACTATGTGTTTGAAAATTCAATTGCTGGTTCAGGCATTATTTAGTGAGAGTTGCCTTGTTAAAACGGTGGTTTATTCTCAGTAAACATTCAAGATTAAACATTTAACAAACTTTCAAACATTCAAGACTAAACATTTAACAAACATTCAAGATTAAATATTCAGCAAACATTCAAACATTCAGGATTAAATATTTAACAAACGTTCAAACATTCAAGATCAAACCAATATTCATTTGTAAGAGTTTCAGAAGAAATAAAGTTCTGACCAGAATGACGCCTCCCCCAGACCCGGGGGAAGTGGCGAGGAAATAATCGGGCAGACCAATGAGCTGCGCCAGCCAGTCCAGCATGATCACCTCCAGCTCCGTGCACGCCGGAGACGCTTCCTGCAATGGCAGGATTTGTGCAGTGAATAGAGTAGAATAGAATAGAATAGAATAGAATAAAATATAAGTGTCGGCGTTGAAGAAATAGGCCCATGGCCAGTTGCCGATTCTTGAATTTTTCGTGACTTGATTCACAAGGGATCCGGCCTTTGTATAGTATAGTATAGTATAGTATATATATCTTCGGCATTAAATAAATAGGCCTGGATAGGCCTGTCGCCGATTCTTGTACTTTTCTTGACTAGACTGGCCTTACGGACGATAGATTTAAAATCGCTTCTAGATATCAGATGTTCCGTAGGGTACGAGGCATTTTAAGACTGAACATATGCTCATGCATGGCCTTGTCTAGTCTGTTCTTAGACGCGTTCATACTCGGAGCGTCAACAATATCTTCAGGGAGGTTGTTCCACATGTCAGTGACTCGAAGCGAGAAGAAATGTTGTCGCGTGGATAAGTTGAACCGCAGTTTTTTAGTTTATAGCTGTGGCCCCTGGTTTTGGTTCTTGTTTCAAATTCTAGTAATCCTTCTGGGACCTTGCGCAAACCATGAGTATACATGTATACTTCAATGAGGTCACCACCCGAATGGAACCCGACCTTTCCATAACTGACGATTGATTGAGATAGCTGCTGGACTTATTGCCTGGTCCGTAAGGTGCTAGGCATTTTAAGATTGAACATATGCTCCTGCATTGCTTCGTCTAGTCTGTTCTCGAAATCGTTTAAAATATAATCTATTATTACCGAGATGCTTACAAGCAAGCCGGCTGATTTAACGCTCGGACTATAATCGTCAATTAACCATTTATGTAAAAGACGTCAATTTTTATTTGATATAGTAATTGCTAGAGATCTATAAATGTGACTTCAATTTTTAATAGGCAACAAGCTAAGCGAATTTGTATTTATGGAACAACTAATGTAAAAACTAAAAATCTGACTAACGTTTCAGTAAAAATCGGCAGGTAAAAGTTTAGTAATTATTAGTTGAGTCACTGTATTACATGCTATTATATTGAGAATAACATTCCACTGACTTTGATAATTCGATGTAAACTGCAACATATGCTTAGTGAAGATAAGCACTAAATGAGCGGGCCAAACTTTTAAGATATGATTCAAATTCTCATCATAAGATGATTCTCATTTCATCTGTAATAATTGTAAGTAAAATGATACATTTTTACTCTAGCCATAACATAACATTACATGTCAATATTTTATAATGGAGAAAGACAAAAGGTGCCAAATAGAATTAGCAGCCTGTGCTGACTAAAACATTCCCACATTCTCGAGGAGCACTCTGTGGACAAACAGCACTCGAATTTATTTCTAATTATATATTATTAAGTATTTTCCAGTCGTACCCTTGAACCGCCAACACGCAGTGGCTATAGAAGTTCTATCACTTGCAGCAACATTAGTTGTTGCATGAAGGCAATTGAAAATTATTTTTTTTTCAGCTGATCGGGTAGACCCTCGCGCCATTGAATGTTAAGAAAACTTTTGTGAACGAAAATTTAGTAAATTTTCGGTGAGTAGTACTATGTAAATGTTTCAGTAAATTTCACTGTTACTCTTGTAATCTGTACACTGTAAATCTTGTAATCTATGTTGAAGCTTTTACAATCGTGCTCATAAGTTTTGAATTAAGCGGATCCATTCAACGATCCCGGCAGAAGTATACTAATGCAGCAAGCATTCATATTAATAGTAAATTACAAATGAGAATAAGACATTAACTTTATTATTTTTGCTTGCATATATTCTCCTTTTACGGATGCATACATTTCATGTATGCACACTTCATTTGCAAATTTAAATATTCATGAACAAAATGGGCGTGAATTTTCTGGACGAAGCCTAGACCTGAAAGACATTGAAAACACCACAGCAATGTTGATTTACCTGCCGCATCCCATCCTTGTACGTCCATCTTCAACATCACATCCAAACCCCTCGTTCACAGTATCTCATCCATGTCTATCCACTGGGAGCAATGCATCCATGCCACGTCTTTCACCGAACCGCATCCATTTCCATCTACCAATAACATGACATCCTTGCTCATCCATTCATTGCACTGGACTCATGTTCGTGCAGTGACTGCACTGCATCTATGTTCATAAACTTGTGAACGAATGAGAATCGTTCACGGTCTTTTTAGGCCTTTTTACCAATTTCAATTTTGTTTGAGCTAGGTAATATATTATTCTACATGTATGGGTTTTTTTAGCGAGGCCGGTTAAGTAGCTTAGACTTCCGACCCTTTCAGGGAAGATTTGTTTCAGAGAGAGGTGACGAGGGCGATTCCTTTTGTATGAGACAGCAGTTGTGTCCTGCTAGCCGATCGGTTAAGTTGCAGCTCTGACCTTCCTAGTGGTAGCTAGTAACTGCCGATCAGGCAAGAAGCTTTTTGTCTTGCAGTGAGCCCCCTCCCTGACTGAGCTGATTAATTATTTGCCATGTGTCTGTGCTGCTCGTTACTGTGACCTGAAAATGTAGAGTGCCCATTTTAAAGTGCTTATTGGAATAAACGTTTGAAACTTCAGTGGTGAACTGGAAAGCTGTGTTTTCATTATCGATTCTTTGAAACTAGCTTTTTAATAAGTTCGTGGCCAGCGTGCAACCTTAGGCGGCCATCCGTTGAAGCTAGGGTAGTGAACGTCCGGTCACAAACTAACAGCACCACATTAACGCCACTCCTTCACTCCACTCACCCACGTGAAGCCGACGCATGTGAGAGCTCCACACAACATGTCCCCCAGGAGGGACGGTAAGCTGTTGCCCGAGGGGAAATACGCATGGAAGTGAGGACTCATCCATTGCGTCATCTTGGGACCAAAAAAAATCGAGAATTATTATGCACTAACGATCGTCTCCTTCGTCATCAGCAGAATCAAAGTGGAGATCGATTTACACATTATAACGTTGGTTTTGGCTCGATGCCTGTTCTGTTTGAACAATCTCTGTCGAAACGCCACAGAAAATTTCCAATAGAAGTGTTTTATTTGAGTTAAGCAATTCCTTTCGACACTTTTTACAGACGATAAAGTTTTTCTCAGCTATCAATATATAATAAAATTTTTCAGAAGTCGAATTCGCAAATGATAATTGGTTGTAGTTTATTTATTGATCGTGCATCTTCCTGCTCTTACCCCCGGCTGGATGATGCGTTCGACGTCATTCATGATGTCAGAGAAGGACTCCGGCGCCGTGGGGGCGGACGAAGGCATCAGCGGGCGCAGGTATCCCGGCTCCACAGCGGCCAGAGGACGCCTTCGTGTGTTGGGGCATAGATGGATTTCTTTGTTAAGGTCTTTCTAGGTTTGATGATTTTGATAAATTCGCAAGAAAATTGAAAAAATATATATATTTTTTTTACTAGCATTTGAATTGATATGTGTCATTTTAAACAAGCCTCGTAGTCAGTATTTAAGACGTGGGTGAACAAGTTTTGATCGTGGATCATGTTCTGGCCATTATTGGTGGACTTTGTTAATAATGTTCGTGTCATGTTCGTGCTATGTTTTTGAGGACATGAGGAGTAGTCATGATCTGACAAAGGTTATGTGTAGAAGTATTTTATGTTTTATTGGAGAGGGTAAACCCGGTGAATTTTATTTAGATTTGTAGGGGCTATTGCTTTTAAGGTTGTTATTTAGTATATTAAATAGCATGATCTTGAAATTGTTTTTGTTCTTTTGTCACTAAATTACTGGTGGAATCATTATTGAACTAGTATATAAGATTGACCCATGAGAAGCTCGTTTTTACGGATGTAGTTTGATGTATGCCTGTGACGTCACTGATCTCAGTGACGTCACGGGCATTAACCAATCACCGAAATGCGATCAAACCAGTCAACCAATCCGTCATGGGAATGACGGGATTGTTTACGTTTCTCGATCTCAGTGACGGAACAAGAAAGCTGAACTGAAAGACGGACATCCTAGTGGGTCAACCTTATATAGTTCAACCATAGATGGAATGTTGTCAATGAATTTGCCTGTTATGTTTTTCGCCTTCTTATGGTGATGATCATTATCTTAGTGGTGTTGTTACTGAGAGTATATTTTCGAATATTTTCAACTGTTGGAAGGCGTGTTCCATCTATATGTATGTATAGTTGTGAGAGTGTCGCCTGGTTGTTTTTTGCGTAATGTCTGCAAATTACATGCAATCTGCTTAGGGTGGTGGAGATGGAATGTCGTTAGTGAAAATTTATGGAGATTACGAAATTTCTATGCCGAGTTATAGCTATAAAGAGTGGGAAGAGCTATACAGAGAAGCTATGGAGAGTGAGTAGGAGCTATAGACCCTCTATAGTTATAAAATTATTGAGAGACTCACTGAGGATCCCAGTCAAAGTTTGTAGAGGGTATGTATGAAATTGTCTGTTTTAATGTATGTTGTTGTGTTTGTGCTGTAGTCACACGTACGAGACCAGTTAAAATTTGTAACCATTTCTCAAACAGCATCAATAATGAATAATAAATGAATATAAGGCAAGAATTTCTCGTCTTTATACGTGAGGCAAAAATATATTATAAGGCCAAAATGTCAGGTGTTTGTAACAGTTTAGGTCAATCAATGAATAAAAAATGAATCTTTTCATCAAACTTTTGAATGCGCATTTGAGTAACAGAATATTTTTATTATCAATTCCCATTAGGCAGTCACGTATCATGTCATAGTACTGCTCACCTGTCACGTATCATGTCATAGTACTGCTCACCTGTCACGTATCATGTCATAGTACTGCTCACCTGTCACGTATCGTGTCATAGTACTGCTCACCTGTCACGTATCGTGTCATAGTACTACTCACCTGTCACGTATCGTGTCATAGTACTGGACGATGTAGTCAATCATTTCATGAGCAGCACTGCGGAACTCCTTGTTGTTCATTTTTTTCTTTTCCTGACTTTTGTTTGATTATAAATTCAGTCAATGTAGGAATTTTCAGCACACTCTGCTCAGGGGAATAACATGAATTAAATTTCTACACATTGCAGTCTCTTTTCAAAATCTTTGAGCAAAGTGATGTGATTGTAATTAATTCAGCAATGGAGCTCAGCTGACCATCTAGCATAATGAATGGTTTCACAAACAACTTATAATCAGTCAAGTAGTTAAGTGAATATTTTTTCTTAAACTTCACACAATCTTTTCAAATCTCAGCCTATCAATAATGCTCTTTTAAAGTAATGAATTAACTCGCAATCTTTATAAGCTACAGGTTAATTCATCTTCATGTTCAATTTGATTTATTTATAAGCTAATCTTAAAAGACTCATGCCTGCAAGTTCTGAAAATATAAATACTCTCCTTGCTTTTGTTTGTGGAATCTCTGTCATTCATCAGTGTATTGCTTATTTTAGGATAAGCTTCTAAAGTTCCAATTGCTGCTATGGTCAATTCGTGATCAAGATAAGGTTCGTGAGATAAGAAGCTCGGTGTTTCCTGGGAGCTTCTACTGTACTGTGGAACGGTGGTCTACGGCCGTGGCAACTTAGCTCGCAGAGGTATAGCCGCTAACCAAGGACTATCAATATTACTTGACTCTCAAACCGAAAGGAACGTCAAGCAAACACGAACACAGAGGTCACGGACGGCTATGTTGAAAGAGTGCTGGTGCGACTGATACCTCATGGTTTACGAAGGAAATAAAACAAGATGTTAAACTGGCAGCGGATTGAAACGGAATGAATGGCATTCATGTATGCAGTATACGACGTAGAATGATGTACGCATTTAAGAGGAAAATCTTTGGTTCGATGTTGATTTTTACTGCGTTTTTCTTATGTTGATACAGTTATTTTATTTCCATAGATTTCTTTACCCAATATGTCAAACAGCAAAGTCGAATGAAAATTTTTCGAATGATTTTTGCTTCTGGGTTTTCACGGTTTCAGTTCGATTGATCTGCAGTTCAAGTTTACGAATAATGTTATTGACATGTCTACTTTCTGACATGATATCAATCGCCCTCATACATAGGAGAAATATGGGCCTTTTCAATTATAAAGTACTTTATTTCAGTCTGTAGGGCTGATAAAATAGCAGTAATAGCTGACCACGTTTACTGACCCTTGAAAAAAGGATTGAGTATATGAACCCTGATTTATATTTCTAATTTAGCTTTTAATATCTTACTGATGAGGAGTCTGAACAAGTCAACAGCTCAATCTTCTTGTAACTAAATTTATAGCTCATCATTAAGCTCATTTTAATCACAAAAGAGAAGATTAAGATAAACAGGATGTCAAAGAAAATTATATGACATGAAGGCCTACCATAAAATGGCAGCCTTTCACTAAACATGAAAATTTCTGACCAGAATTAGGCGCGTACAAGAGCAACAAGTGAAGTCTTCACGCAACAGGTGGCCGGCCGAACTGATGCCGGGACATCTCGGGGCGCCTTCCTTGGCTGGCTTGCTCTCTGCTGTGGGTCAATATATCCTCTCCACGAGCTCTCCCGCTAAGACTTTCTCTTCTTTCTTGCTCTTTATTACAGTAAATTTTGCTCGAGGGCCCAAAGAGTTTTCCTATCGATCTCCAATTCTTAGCTATGATAATCTTGAGTCACGTCTCTTGCAAGGCCAAGCGCCAACATTTACTTTTTTCCTCTTCAAATTCTAGTGTTGCTCTCATCCACATCATCTCCTCTATTCAATTCTAGTGTAGCTCTCGTCCACATCATCATCTTCTCTATTCACTTCTAGTGTAGCTCTCTGCGTTCTACTGTTTCGTTCATTTCTTTCACAGTTATGTTGGGCTTCGTTTTCGTCCGTTGGGACAGATGTTTCTAAAGCTCAAGCTGTTGTTTCCTATGAGAATGTCGTCTGTGACCGGCGCCAAACTGCTTCGAGCGGCGACGTTTTCGAAATAAAATCGTTCGTGTGAATTGCCTTTTGTATTAAGCCTAACAGATTTAGCGACGTCATGAGCGTGAGAGCGACAGTTCCATGACGCTCATCCTGGGTATAGCATTTAAGGTTTCATCAGTTAAGACCTTAGAAGGAAGAGTCTGTTGAGCTAAGACTGTTAAGCGTTACCAGCCATTCTATAAACAATATCTCGTTTTAATCAAAGTTTAAATTGCATCCCGTAAACTAACCTCAAATTTACTCTTCACTTTGATATTATATATGGAGTTCACAAAGTAGTTATTACCCTGGTCAGCACCGGATTTTAATTCATCTGATCGACCAATGCGATGAGTTGAAATTTGTTTATTTTAGTATTAAAGAAGAAAATGAAACCAAAACAAAATTGGAAAAATTTCAACCTAAATTTCTTCTACGTACATGAAATGTAAAGGGAAGGAATGTGTTCAGATTGATGGAGTTTCACGACCTCCAGAGGCACCTCTGTGCGTTCGTGACCACGGGTGCCTCAAACAACATTGACATCATCTTCGCAACAATAAATAAACCGGGCCTTAACGTACCGCTAGAAAGAACTCTTTCAGCGCTGAGAATTGAGCTTCTGATAACAACATTTATTAAAGAAGATAGATGAAAATATAGGGAAGGGTATTGTGAGAACTACGTAGTCTAGTTGGCATGCGTTGCCCGCGAAATTGTTATATCTTAATAAAGTTCATGATATTTAATTACGAATTGCTGACATGGAGTGAAATATGATGGCTATAAGTGTGGTCTCCTCACCAAGCCGAAAATAATTAAATGGTTTTTGATTAAGAATTGCTGGCATGTGGTGTAAGATGATGAAAGATTTTAATTCGCAGAAGCAGCACTCAACTATTGTCGACACCGGTAATTCTTATTTCCAATGTCGAGACGAGGTGGCCTGCATCAGTTTTTCTCGTTTGTTGAATGTAGTGTCTAGTGGCTCATGCTGTATTCTTTGTTATTAGCTCATGCTGTATTCTTTAGTGAACGTTATGGCTCATGCTGTATTCTTTGTTATTAGCTCATGCTGTATTCTTTGTTATTAATCGAGTTTTAATTTAAAATTAAAAATTTTTAGAGTTAGAGTTAAAATATTTTTAGAGTTGGTTTTTCATATATATAATCTTTCTGTCAGAAGAAATAGTAAATTTTTGCTCACAACTGTCTTGCACACTCGCATTGTGTCAGACTAGAGTTTCTCAGTGATTATGAGCGAAATGTTCCACGTTTTAAAATAAATAATGTTAGTTTGTATACTCCGCTGTGTGGTAGTGTTCGTTTCACGGTTTCTTCAGCAGTGATTGACAAATTAATGCAGTTGAAGGTTAATGTCTCGCTAACAGCTTTATATTGAGATATTTAAATGAATTGCGACATCGTCTTGAAGTTGAAGGTTTTCTCATTGAATTGTATAGCAAGATATTCTCTGCGCGGCTGTTGAAGGTTTACTGTATATCCTGTAGTTGAAGGTTTAGTGTTTGCACTGTATCGTGAGATATTCTTCTCAGGGTTTCACTGATAGAGTGTATGATTATGGGGCTATACGAAAATCTTAGCAGTATTGATTTTCGCAGATGTTATGTGAAATACTGTCTGATTTTGATTTTTACATAAGTAAACTATTTAGTTTGCTGTATCGATATGTCGTTTCTACTTTAGAAAGGTTAGCTCCTATTAGCAATGCTTGCCATTAAAATTTTATTTCATTAGCCATATAAGGCGCAGTTTGAAGACGAGTAGTTGTTTTCGTGTTGATTTACCCAAATCCTATATGCCTCCACGATCGGTGTTTATAACGTTTGAACAATACGAATAGTTCATGGATTCTAATTTTGTTTTAATTAGAATCCCTGTTTTGGCCGCTTCATGACGGCTATAAATGAGGCTAGAAGACTGCTACATGAGGGCTGTCGCTATCAAAGCCTCCTTCCCTCGCCACCCGCAGGGCAGTGATACCGCGTGTCGCTCGGAGCTGAGAGGTCCTATGCCTTCATATCCGGACAAGCTACAGTAGATTATTTGCTGCTGCTGACGCGGCCTGCTGCTAGCCTGTACACTCAATGTCTCACGGTAAATGAATGCAACAAATATGTACATCAGGAGGATTTTCACTGAATAAACGAAGAAGACTGGCCTGTTCTGCTTCAGAGTCATGTAAAAATGAGCAGTTAATTTTTAAATTTTAAAAATAAGAAGAAAACTTAATTGGCGACAGTTTAAAAATTGTTTAATAATTGATTTACATTGAAGAACATCAGTATCATATTATGTGTCTTGTTTAGGTGTGTCCATGCATCACTTTAATACTAAATTTCTGGTATCCACTACTATAGGAGTTTAGTTTATTATATATCATTTGCATTTTTAAAATAATTGATACCTGAAGCGTAAGCCACCAGCAGAGGAGCTTTCTTGTCTTTTTCCTGCTGCCCGACGCAGTCTTTGAGAGCTCGTTGCTTAGCGGCCAGCATGGCCATCAGCGTCGCTTCGCTGGCCGTGCCCTGAAAAATCTTAGTCTTTCTTACCCACTTCAACGTGAACACTTCAATACTTGAATTCTTTTTAGGTAATTTGGCCCTGCCAAAATGTAAACTTGTTATGTGTTCAGCGTTGTTAGACAAGTTCCGCGGTGAGCGTTTGTCCTCGATGTCACTAACAGAGAATGGAAGCAAGAGGTGGCACAGAGTATCAAGAAGAATACAAGAAAATTTGATGAACCTGTTAGAGGCACTATTTGCCTAATATGGTTAATTGTAGTTTATGGTGTTCTGCTGGCGTAGCAAGGAACCACTAGCATGTACTGTTCGCAATTGAAAGTCTACTGTACATTGCGAAGTTTCTATAAATACTGGAATGGAGGGCAGTGTTAGGTCTGGCGCAGCTTACTTTTATACAAGGATTCTGGGCATAAGTAACTTTCAAATTATGCATCGGTAACAAGTGGAAATAAATATTATTAATTATGCATCGGTAACACGTGGATGAAATTAAGCCCAATAACCTCCTCGTCACATTAAATTTGTATACACCAAATTCCTAATAATGAAGGTGGAGACTCCAATCGATGAATATGCTTCTTCTCGATAGGTAATGGTGGAGTTCATTAATCTCTGATACGTCTGCTCTTACTTTCTATATGATTATGAAGGGGTTCGCAATTCAATAGTGCTATGCATGCTCTTGCGGTCTCCAGACGGTAATCAGCAGAGCTGGGCAGCGCTACTTGGAAATGTAGAGGCGCTACCGCTACCGCTACATGCTTTAAATGTAGCGGGCTCTACCGCTACCGCTACACCCACTAGATTGTAACGGGCGCTACCGCTACAGTAAAATGTAGCGCGCTACAATAGCCGCTATAATGGCCAAAATTATTGGAAATCTCTAAATATTTATTGTTCTGCTATTGGGATTTACTCATTAACATTTAATGATAATAAAACATTTTTAAAACATATCAATGCAACTTTATTGCAATTAACCTAACCGAACTAGTATGGGTTACCCCAGGGTTAGATAAGATAAGAAAATTGATCACATCTTCAATGAGATCGCTTCGAAGACCAGCTCCATCATCAGTTCAAAAATTTTACTACGGTACAAGAGCAATCAGTAGTGAAAATCGGAATCTACACAAAAGAACTCAAAACCTTAATGGTAGAACGACAAATGAAACATAAAAAACATACCGATTTACAATTTCAAGAGTGTAAGAACTGTACGCGTTATATAGACATCATTTTCGTTTAAAAATATGCAGTGATTCCAAAATATTTAGATCAGTACTATCAGACGTGGAACCGAGACACAGTCACGTCACACTGGCCCTATGTGAGTACTATTGTGTGGTTCTGGTGTACTGTCCTCTGTACTCTCTCAGACACAGTCACGTCACACTGGCCCTATGTGAGTACTATTGTGTGGTTCTGGTGTACTGTCCTCTGTACTCTCTCAGACACAGCCCCTTAACACTGGCTTGATGGAGTACTATTGTGTGGTTCTGGTGTACTTTCCTCTGTACTCCCTCCAAATCTTCAGCATTTCTTTGCAGCTCCTCTGACGTATGTACGGGTCACTAGGTTTTGTGACTTATTTTTGTGTGCCTCTGTTTCTACCATTCTATTGTATATGTAACTGCATCACTAATACATACCTACGTTGCGATTCCTCCCACCCATCTCCTTCCCCATGCCCTCCCTCCCGCTTCGAGTCTGCCGGGAATGTCCCAACGGGTTAGGGGCAGAATTCTTTTACTAACCTTAATGGCAGTGTGCGTCGGAGACAGAAAGTGAACTTCGCGCACTTGCTGTGCGAAAGTCTACTTTTGAACACACTGCATATCAGAGACCAACTCCATCAGAGGAGGTCGAATGCCCGGCCAGAGCCAAGGTTTAACCACCCTCAAATGTTGATGTCATGCAGATGCAAGTTTGCCTTGCCCTAACCATGCTTCCATCATTCCTCATCATCTCATCTTCATCCATCATTAGCCTTCAAGCTGCCTCAATAACTAACTCAATCTACTTGCTCGAACCTCCGACATTCAGAATAAAACTCTATAAAATCGACCCCAGACTGCTTATTGACAGATCCGCAATATTTCAAACGACCTCACATGAACTCAACTTTTCCATTATCAGACTCACCGGCTCAGTAACCGGTTATTATACAGCAGTGGACGATGTATCAGCCATCGACAGACTGACTTCCAAAAAAGCGAACGAACATTTCAGAAAAATCAACCTACATTTCCACACCCCATCTTCTAGACAAGGACATCGGCCGAAAGAATTCAACAGAAATTAAGCACGAAATTACGAGACGGCAGAACTAGATGTCCATTCAAGCTAAAATCAAATACTAATCCCAAGATTTTAAAATAATCATAACTGACAAAACCATAGCACAACTCATTCTGAACGACGGCTGTGCCATGTACCAAAATTACTCCCTCACAGTAAGAATAAGAGCCATTTGCTATAAGTGTTCGAAGACCTTTCTACACCCGAAGTACCTCTACTACACAATTTTGCTCTGAGTGTCCATCTGACGACCACACCACATCTACACACATTGCGGGAAAACATTTAAAAATGTCTCAATTGCCAACAAGAACACATAACACACGCCGCCAACTGCCCATACAGAAAACAAGCTATCACAAAGAAACATCAAGCAACATTAGACAAAGAACCACAGAATACTCATCACACATACGCTGAAATAGCCGAACACGCAATAGGGTGCCCAGTCGCTACAGTTCAGAGTATCAGGATTGAAGCAGTGAGTTGCGTGTTCGAGACCGCAACGAGATGTGTTTGTTCTGTGATACTAAGAATCGGCGACATGTCAATGTTGAAATCCTGATTTATTTTAATTATAACAAACCAATATTACTCAATACAACCTCACTCTCACCAGCACTGCATAAATCAAACTGACAGCAACAATTCCTGCAGCACAGCCAGCCTCGCCAGACGAGAGGGCTGAGGTTTCATACTCTCGAAATAACTGAATGCAAACTACGACATCGACGATACTTTACTTACCGTGACTTAGCTCAAAATTTTAACTTTTTCTATATCGACGAATATATGAGAGCGAATCAGATCCAGACATTTTTAACCAAAGAACCGAATTTATAGACGACGACTACATGAGATGGTCTTTGCGAAACTCAGCAGGACCATAAGCGGACTGCCAAACCCACAGGACGACCCCCTGCTTACAACAAAAACCCATTACGAAGACCGTGATCCAAGAAAGCGAAAAAACTCTGTAAGTGACAAGCAGTATAAGGAATCGCCCCTCGCAATGCCATGACGCGAAGAACCAATATCCGTTGGAATTTAGGAGCGACAAAGACCCCAACTTAATCCCTGCAGACCCTCGCAGCATCTGTTACTTTGACGAACTGGGGCAAAATAAATATGAAGTTTGTCTCAAAAGCAAGTGGGAATAATGTGCACGGTGTGTATGGAATGTGAGGGAAGTGTGCTGCCAGACGTAGGATGGCTAACGTAGGACTGAGGCAATAATTCGGGCAAGAAATTCGCCGCATGCTGCCGCTCGGACTCGTGGCTGAGTTCCAAGACCGCTACACAGGACTCATGACAAGCCTGTTGGGTACAGGGCGAGAGGAGGGGGCATGCGGATGGAGGGAGGGGAGGGAGCTAAAGCACAAGAATATGGTGGAAGAGCAGTCGTATTTACACTATAATGGTATAGACAGAAGGTACAAGGAACTCTTCGAATGAAGTACACGGGGCCTGGAGTTCCGCTCAAAATTCACCGTTTGTCTTTGTTTACCGTGTGTCTTTCTTTACCGTTTACCTTTGAAAATTCAATTGCTGGTTCGGGCATTATTTAGTGAGTGTTGCCTTGTAAAAACGGTGTTTTTTCTCAGTAAAAATTCAAAATTAAGCATTTAACAAAAATTCAAAATTCAAGATTAAACATTTAGCAAACATTCGAACACTTAAGATTAAACATTTATCAAAAATTGAAACACTCAATATTAAACCAATATTAATTTGTTGAAGTTTCACAAGAAATAAAGTTCTGACCAGAATGACGCCTCCCCCAGACCCGGGGGAGGTGGCGAGGAAGTGCTCTGGCAGACCAATGAGCTGCGCCAGCCAGTCCAGCATGATCACTTCCAGCTCCGTGCACGCAGGAGACGACTCCTGAAATTGCAGTAATAGGGAATATATTTGTGAATATAAGTATTCACATAATAGTGCAGTATATTTACTGCACTGAATTTGTGCAGTAAATAGGAAATATAGTCGATTATTACGAGATGCTTACAAGCAAGCCGGCTGATTTATCGCTCGGACTATAATCTTCAATTACCCGTTTATGTGGAATACGTAAATTTTTATTTAATAATAATAGCTAAAGATCTATAAATGTGTCTTTAACTTTCAATAGGCAACAAACTAAGTGAATTTGCATTCTGGCACCACTTATGTGAAAAATAAAAATCTAACTAACTTTTGAGTAATAATCTTCAGTAAAAAGTTCAGTAATTTTTAGTAGAGTCACTGTATTACCGAGAGAATGCCGTCAATACTACATGACCTGCTAAATTTGCTATTGAGAATAACTTTTTACTGACTTTGATAATTCGATGTAAACTGCAACATGCTTAGTGTAGATAATTACCAAATGAGCGGGCCAAACTTTTAAGATATGATGTATTTCTCATCATAATTAAGTTGACTCTCATGCGTAATAATTGTAACTAAAATGATACATTTTTACTCTAGCAATAACGTAACATCACATGTCAATATTTTATAATAGAGAAAGTCGGGAGGTGCCAAATAGAATGAGCAGCCTGTGCTGACTTAAACATCCCCACGTTTTCGAGGAGCACTCTGTGTACAAATAAGATTCTAATTATTTTTAATTAAATATCAGTAAGTATACTCCATTCAGAGCAATGAACGAACCGTGAACACGCAGTGGCTAGAAGCGTTGTCATTTGCAGCAACATTAGTTTTTGCAACAAGGCCATTTGAAAAGTAACTTTTCTTCAGCTGATCAAGGAGACCCTCGCACCATTGAATGTTAAGAAAATTTTTGTGAACGAAAATTTCAATTAAAAAAAGTCAGTGTTACTTCATGCTTATTGTTTATGGTACGTAAAAGATGTAATCTATGTTGAAGCTTGTACAGTTGTACTCATAAGTTATGAATTAAGATTAAGCGGATCCATACAACGATCCCGGCAGAAGTATACTAAAGCGGTAAATATTCTTATTGAAAGTAAATTACATATGAGAATATGACATTAACTTTATTGTTATTTTGCTTTGGATATATTCTCATTTTACAAATGTTTACATCTCGTACGTACAAAAAGTGGAATTAACGTAAATTTGCAAATTTAAATATTCATGAAGAAATGGGTGTGAATTTTCTGGACGAAGCCTAGACATGAAAACTTTTTAAAACACCACAGCAATGTTCATCTACTAGCCGCATCCCATCCATGTGCGTTCATCTACAACATCGCATCCAAACCCTTCATTCACAGCATCACATCATGCATGTCTATCCACTCTGAGCATTGCATCCATGCCACGTCTTTCCCAGAACCGCATCCACTTCCATCTACCAACAACATAACATTCTTGTTCATCCATTCATTGCACTGGACTCGTGTTCGTGCAATGACTGCACTGCATCTATGTTCATAAACTAACAGCACCGCATTAATGCCACTCACCCACGTGAAGCCGAGGCATGTGAGAGCTCCACACAACATGTCCCCCAGGAGGGACGGGAAGCTGTTGCCCGCTGGGTAATACGCATGGAAGTGAGGACTCATCCATTGCGTCATCTTGAGGCAAAAAAATCGAGAATTATTATGCATTAACTATCGTCTCCTTCGTCATCAGCAGAATCAAAGTGGAGATCGATTAACACATTATAACGTTTGTTTATGCTCGATACCGTTTACATTTTAACAATGTCTATCGAAACGCTACAGAAAATTTGCAATAGAGGTGTTTTATTAGATTTTAGCAATTTATTTAGATACTTTTTACAGACGATAAAGTTTTTCTCAGCTATACATATATAATAAATTATTCAGAAGATGAATTCGCTAATGACAGTTGATATGCAGGAGAAGGTTGTAGTTTATTTATTGTTCGTCCATCATCCTGCTCTTACCCCCGGCTGGATGATGCGTTCGACGTCATTCATGATGTCAGAGAAGGACTCCGGCGCCGTGGGGGCTGGAAGTCCAGCACAACCGCACGACGGTAATAAAATTCCGGAAGCAATTCAAAGCAGGAAACAAGTCGGTCAGGCTCCTGGAGCGACTACACAACACGTCTGATCTCCACCGCGTCTCAATCTGAACTCTCAGATGATCCATCTCAGATGCTGAGATGGATCCTTCAAGTGAAAGCTGCAGTAATCAATTTGAATTGGTTCCAGTTCTAGCAGCAGTAATGAAGAAGAACCTCCAGAAGATTTATCTGAGAATAAAAATGAAGCACTGCAGGAAGAGAACAATGGAGAAAGTGCGCCTAATTCATGGATTCCTGATAGCTGATCAAATATGCTGATCAAGTTTTGCAGAACACGAAAATTACAAGAAGATCGCGAATGAAATGCTGGACTCCCACAAATGCTCATGAAATAAAGAAATTTTTAGGGCTGATAATTGCAATGGGATAAGTACGCAAACCAAAGCTGGAACTCTACTGGTCTAAAAAGACAATTTATTACTATCCGTTCATCTGCAATGACATGTTGAGATATTCATTGCTTATAAGCTAAGAGCACCTCAATGATAATGATCACTCTGAGTCAATTACAAGTCAATAAATGCACCTGGTTCACTACTTGTGATAGACCAGTCAATTATCCAATTCAGGGGCAGAGCGAAGTTTCGACAATACATTCCAGGAAAGGCACACAAGTGCGGCGTACAGCTGTACAAGATTTGTCCAGCAGAGGCCTACACTTGCGACCTTCACCTATACACTGGAAACATGGAACGAGAAGCTACATTCAGCCATTCGATTTGCAGCTATGTCAGCCCCTTCTTGGAGAGGGCTCAACTATTTTCGCTGGCAATTTCTGCACATCTGTCCCACTAGCTAAAAAATTGTGCGAAGAGAAGAACTATTACTGTGGGACACTAAGTAAAAATGGAAAATTTGTTCCAAAATCACTGTTAAACGAAAAAGTGAAAGCGGGAGAAATGATTTCGCAACACAACAGTGATTTCGCATCAAGGTGTATCATTGGGAAGACAAGCGATCTGTCTTGTGCCTCTCAACTATTCCAGAGCACACAGATACATTAGTTGCATCGGACAAGAAAAACCGTAATGGCGTTTAAAATCTGAAGTAAGGATGAGTAATAAGGCAGCTAAAAATGGGGTAGACATCTCAGATCAGATGACTCCGTATAGTACGGCTCTAAGACGAAGTACAAAATGATACCGGAAAGTGGCAATTGAACTGCTTACTGGCACATCAGTTGTCAATGCATGGGTGCGAGAAAGTGCGAAGTCAATGCACCGAAGTGCGAGAATGCTATTCTCGCACTTCGGTTTCAATTACAGAATTTAGCAAATAACAATGTTTCTTGTTACAGGCAGCCATTCAGAGAGTGTAAAATCAGGACGTAGATCTCAAAATGTCGAGGGGGAAAGAGGGCACCACACTTTGGTTGAACCAACTACAACTAAAACCAGGAAGCGTTGCCATGAATGCTACAAAATGCTCTCAGCAAATGAGGGAAGTGCCGTAGCAAGGGAGAAAACTGGCAGGGTAAAAACATACTGCGATGACTGTGAAAGCCAACCATACTTGTGCGTTAATTGTTTTTCAATCACGCATGCAATATAATGCTGATGGCAACATCCAATGTTTCTAGTTTCAGTGGAATAAGAAAATATTTCACTTTGTTTCTGTACAAAGATACCAACATTTTGCTTTCATCAGTGGACACGAATTTTGTCATATTTGTACCACTGGCATTTGAAAATAAAACTATTTCTCCAAGCAGTAGTTTACTTCAAAGCCCTCCCTAATAAGTTATATTATTGAAATAGTAAATTGGAAAGAGAAATATGATTTTATAAAAATATGAAATTTTCTTAGGCATGTACCACATATGTACACATCGCAATTCTGGAAAGTTCCGAGTGTCCATATATGGCGCACATCGATCGAGGCCATGGTGTTAATAGACTCATGCCTGCAAATTCTGTAAATATGAATACACTCGCAGCTTTTGTTTGTGGAATCTCTGTCATTCATCAGCTGTATTACTTATTTTAACACAGGCTTCTAAAGTTCAAATTGCTGCTATGGTCAATTTGTGATCGAGATAAGGGTGGTGAGATAAGAAGCCCGGTGTAGCCTGGGAGCTTGTAATGTACTGTTGAACGGAGGTCTACGGCTTTTCAACATAGCACCGCAGAGGTAAAGCCGCTATTCAAATACTATCAATAGTACTTGACACTCAACTTGACTCAAGCCGACAGGGACGTCAAGCAATCACGAACACAGAGGTAACGGACGGCTATGTTGAAGGAGTGCTGTCGCGACTGAGACCTCATGGTTTTTGAAGGAAATAAAATGAGATGTTTAGTTGAACTGGCAGCGGATTGAATCAGAATGAATGGCATACAAGCATACAATACGACGTAGAATGATGTACGCATTTAAGAAAGTCGGATAATTGGGGCACGATATTAAAATAACGGACGTTTCGTTTTTTACTGCATGAAGGAAATATTTTCTACTGAGTTATTGGAATTTGCGACTAATTTTAAAAATGAACTACTCATCTTATGTTTTATACAACTGTTCACCAAATGAAAAATCTTTGCTTCCATGTTGAATTTTACTACGTTTTTCTTATGTTAATAGTTATTTTTTCCAATGATTACCCAATAAGTCACTCAGCAAAGTCAAATAAAAAAATGTTGAATGATTTTTGCTTGTGGGTTTTCACGGTTTCAGCTCGATTGATCTGCAGTTCAAGTTTACGCTTAATGTTATTGTCATGTCTAATTTCTGACATGATATCAATCGCCCTTATACATAGGTGAAATATGGGCCTTTTTAATAATGAAAAACTTTATTTCAGATAGACTCGTCATTTGTAGAGAGGGGTTTGTCAGTAGGTCCGATAACTCGGCAGTAATAGCAGGCCATGTTTCTTGCCATCGAAAAAAGATTGAGTATATGAAACTTAATTTATATTGCTGGTTAAGCTTATAAAATCTTACTGACAAGGACCTCGAACAAGTCTACTGCTCAACCTACTTATAAATAAATTTATAGCTCATCGTTAAGCTCATTTTAATCACCAAGATAAGATTAAGGTAAACTCTACGTCATACGAAATTAGATGACATGAGGGACTACCATAAAATGGCAGCCTTTCACTAAACATAAAATTTTTTGGCCAGAAATTAGGCGCGTACAGGAGCAACAAGCGAAGCCTTCACGCCAACAGGTGGCCGGCCGAACTGATGCCTGGGCATCTCGTGGCGTCTCCCATGGCTGGCCTGCTCTTTGCTGCGAGTCTATATCTCCTCTACACGAGCTCTTCCTCGAAGACGCTCTTCTTTCTTGCTCTCTATTGCAGGAAAATTTGCTCGAGTGCCCAAAAAGTTTCCAATCGATCTCCAATTCTCAGCTTTGATGATCTTGAGCCTCGTCTCGTGCAAGGGTCAATCGTCAGCATTTACTGTTTACTTCCTCAAATTTCAGTACTGATCACATCCACATCATCTTCTTCTTCATTTAATTTTCACATCATCAGCTTCTCCATTTAATTCCATTTTCCATTTCCGGGCCGTCGATCCCCGTCAGGGACTTGCCCCCCCCCCAGGGTCCCACACCAGGCACGCCCTCTGGTGCCTCGCCATATTGGCGACCGACAGCACCCTGTTGCACCCCGGGCACTGAGCAACCCTCCCCCTCCTGGCTCTCACCTACATGGGACATGGGACATGGGACAGAATAGTTTGACTTGTGGATAGTTCTGCTATAAGTTGAAGACTTCCCAATTCTCACTATTATTTGCCTCTTTTCGAGATATTTAATCACTTCTAACTTGCCACGAGATTAAATCTGAAATACAACTTTTCGTCCTAAATTTATTGGGTTAATTCATCGATTTTCTATCCTCTGATACAAATTAGAAATTGGTCAGGTTGCTTGGCTAGAGTGGCGGTAAACGGCGCGATGATTTACGGTTCTCTTATCAAAACAGCGAACTAGTTAGCAAAGGGGCAATGATAACACATGAAGATAAATTCTATAGTTACTATATTATTGGAACCTAGGCTAATACATCGGCAAGTCGGCGAAGCTAAGCCCCGATTTACACGGAATATAGTCCTATCCTGTCACACAAAAAAATAAGAAGCTCAGACAGAATATTACACAGAAATATTATGTGTTTAAAGGGGTATCCTATCCCGACCTATCTACCCAGTTTTTTCAACTCTACGATCCCCGTCCCTACGGAAAATCTGACAGTTTCTAAATATTTCCCGAATTACATCACCGGAATTTGTGGATGACGGAGTAGCCACGGTGCAGCGGACGGCGAGTTTTGTGGGAAACGGTCTTGGTTTCTTTCAATGCAGACGATCATTTTAGCGAACAGTTTTGCACTGCCTCAGTATCAGTTACCTCTTCTGAGGCTGCTCTACAAATTTTTTCTGACCTTACTAACTCAAAATTTTCTACTCACACAGCCATCTACACCGATGGGTCACAGATCAAGATCCCGGCACCATCCATATCTGCTGCACTATTCATCCCATCTAAAGGTGTTTTGCTGAGCTGGAAGCTC